AATGGAGAAACATATGGACAGCGAGACAAAGACGTACATGAAACATCGGGACAATGGAGAAACATATGGACAGTGAGACAAAGACGTACATGAAACATCGGGACAATGGAGAAACATATGGACAGCGAGACAAAGACGTACATGAAACATCGGGAGAATGGAGAAACATATGGACAGCGAGACAAAGACGTACATGAAACATCGGGAGAATGGAGAAACATATGGACAGCGAGACAAAGACGTACATGAAACATCGGGACAATGGAGAAACATATGGACAGCGAGACAAAGACGTACATGAAACATCGGGACAATGGAGAAACATATGGACAGCGAGACAAAGACGTACATGAAACATCGGGACAATGGAGAAACATATGGACAGCGAGACAAAGACGTACATGAAACATCGGGACAATGGAGAAACATATGGACAGCGAGACAAAGACGTACATGAAACATCGGGACAATGGAGAAGCATATGGACAGCGAGACAAAGACGTACATGAAACATCGGGACAATGGAGAAACATATGGACAGCGAGACAAAGACGTACATGAAACATCGGGACAATGGAGAAACATATGGACAGCGAGACAAAGACGTACATGAAACATCGGGACAATGGAGAAACATATGGACAGCGAGACAAAGACGTACATGAAACATCGGGACAATGGAGAAACATATGGACAGCGAGACAAAGACGTACATGAAACATCGGGACAATGGAGAAACATATGGACAGCGAGACAAAGACGTACATGAAACATCGGGACAATGGAGAAACATATGGACAGCGAGACAAAGACGTACATGAAACATCGGGACAATGGAGAAACATGTGGACAGCGAGACAAAGACGTACATGAAACATCGGGACAATGGAGAAACATGTGGACAGCGAGACAAAGACGTACATGAAACATCGGGACAATGGAGAAACATATGGACAGCGAGACAAAGACGTACATGAAACATCGGGACAATGGAGAAACATGTGGACAGCGAGACAAAGACGTACATGAAACATCGGGACAATGGAGAAACATGTGGACAGCGAGACAAAGACGTACATGAAACATCGGGACAATGGAGAAACATATGGACAGCGAGACAAAGACGTACATGAAACATCGGGACAATGGAGAAACATGTGGACAGCGAGACAAAGACGTACATGAAACATCGGGACAATGGAGAAACATATGGACAGCGAGACAAAGACGTACATGAAACATCGGGACAATGGAGAAACATATGGACAGCGAGACAAAGACGTACATGAAACATCGAGACAATGTAGAAACATATGGACAGCGAGACAAAGACGTACATGAAACATCGGGACAATGGAGAAACATATGGACAGCGAGACAAAGACGTACATGAAACATCGGGACAATGGAGAAACATGTGGACAGCGAGACAAAGACGTACATGAAACATCGGGACAATGGAGAAACATGTGGACAGCGAGACAAAGACGTACATGAAACATCGGGACAATGGAGAAACATATGGACAGCGAGACAAAGACGTACATGAAACATCGGGACAATGGAGAAACATGTGGACAGCGAGACAAAGACGTACATGAAACATCGGGACAATGGAGAAACATATGGACTGTTGTTGCTTTAACCAGACATTGAAATCGCGCGAATTAGTTGTGTCGTTCTGTGAACATAATCGCAGACCAGCTGTCAATTGTCAGCAGCCTATTGTATCAAACAAGCCTCGCCTTAAGTAAACACGGAAACCTATTGCTCCCCCCCCCCTATATACCAAACTGTATATTTTAACTGGAAACGATTAGGCCTAGGTGTTGTCTTTTATACGCCCAATTGTTGTACACGAGGTAACATATGGTCACATATAGTTTAAAATGTTTTTACACAGAACACTTCATTAACTAATCTTCCGCTGAAAATTTAAATAGTTCGAAAACAGTTCCACCCAACCATTTGTCTTGAAATTTATGGACATACTTTTTAAAAATTGTCAATACACCGTCCCGGTTCTCAAACTATCAATTCATGGTCAAGGTTCTAAAATGGTCAATTCATCGTCAAGGTTTAAAATTGTCAATTTATCTTCAATGTTTAAAATTGTCAATTTATCGTCAATGTTTAAAATTGTCAATTCACCGTCAAGGTTTAAAATTGTCAATTCACCGTCAAGGTTTAAAATTGTCAATTCACCGTCAAGGTTTAAAATTGTCAATTCACCATCAAGGTTTAAAATTGTCAATTCATCGTCAATGTTTAAAATTGCCAATTCACCGTCAAGGTTTAAACTTGTCAATTCATCGTCAAGGTTTAAAATTGTCAATTCATCGTCAAGGTTTAAAATTGTCAATTCATCGTCAATGTTTAAAATTGTCAATTCACCGTCAAGGTTTAAAATTGTCAATTCACCGTCAAGGTTTAAAATTGTCAATTCACCGTCAAGGTTTAAAATTGTCAATTCACCATCAAGGTTTAAAATTGTCAATTCATCGTCAATGTTTAAAATTGTCAATTCACCGTCAAGGTTTAAAATTGTCAATTCACCATCAAGGTTTAAAATTGTCAATTCACCGTCAAGGTTTAAAATTGTCAATTCATAGTCAAGGTTTAAAATTGTCAATTCATCGTCAATGTTTAAAATTGTCAATTCATCGTCAAGGTTTAAAATTGTCAATTCACCGTCAAGGTTTAAAATTGTCAATTCACCATCAAGGTTTAAAATTGTCAATTCACCGTCAAGGTTTAAAATTGTCAATTCATCGTCAAGGTTTAAAATTGTCAATTCACCGTCAAGGTTTACAATTGTCAATTCACCGTCAAGGTTTAAAATTGTCAATTCGTCGTCAATGTTTAAAATTGTCAATTCACCGTCAAGGTTTTTAAATTGACACATGGGTCAGGTACCCATCAGAGCTGGGTGTGCTCAATGACGTCCTACAGACTCAAGTTTCTGATCCATCTACAGAGGCCCCACTACAGAAATAGTCTTAGTATAATCGCCGTGGTTGGTCCCCTGTATATTTTAATGTTACATCACCCCATGTTACAGTTTCATTTCCGTAGCTTCACCTTTAGTTTTTTGTTTATTTGGACAATGGCAGTAGTGTGTTAGAGCATAGCTAGAGGGCGGCGGGCGTCTAAGACGTTGTTTAAAACAGGAAGTTTATGATCGTTTTTATGTCGCCCAGAGTCTGAGTAGTGTGTCTCTCTATAGCCAATGATCGTTTTTATGTCGCCCAGAGTCTGAGTAGTGTGTCTCTCTATAGCCAATGATCGTTTTTATGTCGCCCAGAGTCTGAGTAGTGTGTCTCTCTATAGCCAATGATCGTTTTTATGTCGCCCAGAGTCTGAGTAGTGTGTCTCTCTATAGCCAATGATAGTTTTTATCTCGCCCAGAGTCTGAGTAGTGTGTCTCTCTATAACCAGGTTTTTAATTCAGCTCACACGTCAACACACGCACGCACGTTCACGTGTTTGTGGCTTAGAGGCGATGCTGGGGTTTGTGGTGTTGTGGATATGTGGACAGATCTCTAAGCATTTGTTTCAGGTTGTCCGTTGTCCCTAATCCACACAAAGATCAACTCCCCACCTGTATGTCACATTTTTGTTACATGTGTTATATGAAATGTTCACGCGCACGAAAGTCTTGTGTTGTCAAATCCCAGGGTTTGTGTCCACAGGGTGACCCTAGTCTACCCAACAATAACTATAACTTGTGTTAGGAAAATCAAAGTGTCTTATCGCTGACTACCTTGCCCCTTCACATGCTGCGGTCTGAGAAACACAACACTACTTCATCTGCTTAATGAACAATCTGTTTTGAAATGGTAGTAAATATTCTTTTGAAGATGGCCTTTGTCCATGGCCAACTAATTTCTGTGAAGATGTGCACAAGGCCTTTGTCCATGGCCCCAACCAACATGGTTTAGACACGCCAGCTGGTGTACGAGTATCACTGACTAGGAACCCCTGACGCTATGGATTACGTAACACACAAACGCACTTTGCAGTCCCAGCCCCACTCCAATCCCTCCCGCCGTAAAACAATCAGATAATTGAGGTCACTGTGTTGGATATAAATAGAACGAAATGTCAACACTATCGTCACGTGTTTAAAAAAATATATGGTGGTTGTTATCAGATAAACAATTGTATTTCCTGAGCAGCTGACAGTAAAGGTACACGGGCAATTTCTATACAAAACAAATGCTTTACCCAACCTAGTCAGTAGTCCACTAACCAACACTAAACGTAATCCTGTGTTTTTTACCCATTATAACGACATTGTAAGTTTTGATGATTCGTCTTAGTTGCGGTAGGGTCGTCATAGTACATTGCTTGCGGTTGCTATAGAAACCAATCAGTTTCTACCATGCATCTCTTCGCCCATAGAAGAAAATCTCCCGCCCCCCCCCCCCCCGAACGAGATGGGATCTATATAGAAAGTATATACTTTTACCAGTGTCGCCCCCCCCCCCCCCAAGATAAAAAAAGTCTAAAAGAAACACTGCACTAAATGCTCAAAACTACGTGTGAAAAGCGACCTTGGAAACGACAGACTAATTACGAAGTATGGATCTCTTGAAATGCTTTCAATCAATATAAAACCAATGTTGCAAATGCTACGGGATAATAAATGGATACATTATATCACCACGCCACTTTTGTTTTTATGTTCCAGCGAATTGATTACTTAGTGAAATTAACAAAAGTGGCGATTGACGCGTTTGTGTGGTGTCGGTTGCAGCTAGTTTGTCTAGTGCTTCCGTTTAGTGGCAGTTTAATTAAATGATTGGTGGTAGTTAGAATAAGTGATTGGTGGTAGTGTAGTTACATTTGAGTGATTGGTAGTAGTGTAGTTAGATGAAGTGATTGGTGGTAGTTTAGTTAGAATAAGTATAGAGGGGAACTACCATGATACCCAGTGTGAAGAGAATTGTTGCATTAAACTTAAGAAAAAATAGAAAATAAAACACATATTTAGTAATCTTTATTAAACATTTGGGGGGACGGGGCCGACGACAATAGTACAAGGGGCAGCAACTCGTACAAATGCTTTTAGTTTTAAGTTTACTTTAAAACACTAACAGCCTCTGCTTTATATTGGTCTACAAGTGTCTTCGACATGCAGATGGAATATTAGTAATTATGTGTCTTTCATACATCTCTTAAATAATTTACTGATCACAGGCAATTTTATTTTTAAATGCATTCTTTTTTTAAAATGAAGGTAAAAAGGCTACAATGAAAAATTGATTAGATTCAGCCAATTAAAATGAATAAGGGGAGTTAACAAAAAATATTTTAAAGTGCTTTTTTCTTATGTACATGGCAATGTGTATACTGATAAAAAATTCTTTTACTATTTGATTAACAGTATCAATTAAATTTATAATGAGAGATAAGATAATAAAAAAATGTCCATCCCTTTGATAGTTGGAGATTTTACATCATCATACTCTGGATTATCTCCCTGTAGTTATTTTAAATGGGGTAAGAGATTAGCATTTAAATTGTTAGACTTCTCTTTCAACTTTAGCAGCTACAATGTGACAAAATATTATTTGGGTATTAAAATATGGCAGTCAATTAAAATGTGAACAAAATTGTTTTTTGAATATGATTTGGCAGTAAATATATGACAAAATAATTTGAGGTGAAATAATTAAAAAAGAGCTCACCATGCTTCCTAAAGACAGTGTCTTTAGGAAGCATGTAAACAAAGTGTGAGAAATGACATGTAAATAATGTTTACAAGTACAGTTACACTGACAAAAATCTTTACTCTGTAGATAATAAATTCAAAACAGAAACATTCAAATTTTAAAATAAATAAAGTAATTGATTAAAATAAAATCTTTTTAGTGCACATTCCTTTACCCAAACAACGGAATTAGTCAAATTGGAAACAACTTAGTGGATCTCCTGACAGATCTAAATGTAATGGAAAGCTCTGTAGTAATAACTTTACAATTCTTTGACATATCTACACCAGTTAAAACTTGTTTTTTACATTCATCAAACAACAAGATTAATTAACAAACAAATCGTAAAACAAGAAACATTTTAAAATTGTTGGTCAATCTGGAAATGGAAAATTTTGTTTTTTTTCTGCATAATTTTGATTTGTAGCGGTATTGCATGTATTGTATTTTAAATAATACTCCCATATCTTATTTTACATAAAGCTACTAATCTCAAAATATCTGTTTACATAAGATTAATCAAGTTCTAAATAGCTGTTAACATTTGATAAATCAAGTTCTCTCTAGCTGTTAATGTATGATCCATCAAGTTCTCTCTAACTAGATGAAACTTCAAGTTGTCTTGAACTAACTGTTAATTTATGGCCAATGTAGTTCAACCATCAATGTAAAAAAAAAAAAACCCACCTTATCCAACAGTAATGGCTAAAACAAGATTGTCTACTTTTTTTTGGGCCATACAATTAATTTTTCAACTTGTACCTACAATTTTCAACTTTCAGGGGAAGATTTATGTATAGCCCGTAAACATTCAGCTTTTAGCCCAGCGACAATCTAAATAAAAAACACAATCAATAAATTTATGGACACTTTTATCAACTTTTCCCCATTTGATTAATTCTCAAAATTTTACAGCAGTTTAAAAAAACAAACCTCAATTACAATGAGCAATAAAGTGTTGAAAAACAAATGTACAACAGAAATCAAGTAAATACATAAAGGTTAATAAATAGAATATTATTTCACAACATAAAGAAAGAGAAAAAGCCACTTCTTTAATTGTGATGATACATTATATTATGACTAATATGACACTTTTCCATATTTTTTTTTTATGGTTGATCAAGCAAAGAAAAGCAAAATTATCCTGATAAAAGTTTTAATTAAACGCATGCTTCCATGTGAATTAAAAAGTAACATTCTATTGCCTACTGCTAAAAAATTCCCTGCATCAAGTTATACGTGAAGAACTAGAAAACCATGATAAAATGACTACCAAGCCTGTACTGTTAAAAAACTTATTCAAATCTAACGTTAAAAAAAACTGCTTTTATTTCCATACTTCCACTGATCTAACATTTTCTATTTTCACGTATTTTAAGTTACATGGCCGATTTCTAACCAACACTAGATACCCAGATTTTTTATTATCATAGAAGCCACTTGTTGAAATATTCATCGGCAACTGCCACATCTTTGGCATAGCAATCACTGGTGACAGTGTGCTCAGAGCAGACACTCCAGCCTTCATCTTTCTCCTCCTCCAGTTTCTCCGGGATCTGGTTGGGCACCATCAGCCAGTCAGAGAGGTCAGAGGTCACACACTTCACGTCTGCCGGCTTCGGAGATTTCAGCTGGAGCCATTTGTTGGAATCATCTTTGTCTGCAGAAACTTCTGGTGGACAAGATGGGGTCTGGGTAGACTTGGTCAACCACATTGAGTTACTGGCATCGGGTATATGCTTGAAAAAATTTTCAACAGCCTCCTCAGCTTTTGTTACAGATTTTGATGAAGGTTTGTAGAGCCATTCTTGTAGCAATAATTCTGTTGGGTTAGGGGCCGGGGATGAGTCTAGTAGACTCTCAGCTGAGACTTTGGCAGGATTTGGCAGGTGAACAGGTTTCACCTCAACCTGACCTGGTCCAGTCTTAAGAGCACTAGAAGGCTGGGCCAGCCACTTGGCTGTATCCTCCTGAACTCCCACTTTCTTCTCTGTTAATTCACTTTTCTTCAAACCATTTGAATGGTTCTAAAGAAAATGATAAAATAAATCTTTTTTATAAAAAACACTTAGAAAAAAAAAACACTTGAAAATAATAAAACAACTGTATTAGTTCTAAAAAAACGTAAGCAAAAAAAACAACAAAAAAAAAAAAAAACAATCACCTGGTCCTTAAGCCAGAACTTTTGGTCTGTGGGGATGTGTGAGAAAAAATCTCTGGCAGCAGTTTGTTGTTTGCAGGGTCCTCTGGAGCGTAGCCATGTGGAGGTATCTTTACTGATGTGGGCAAACATGTCTCTGTGCTTCAGGTCCTCAAGGCTTGTCACTTGGTTACAGAAATGCTGGAGCCACACCTACAGACAACAGTTGAAACTTATATTCATCTGGTGACAGACTCTAATACAAACTAAAAAAAAATAATAAAAAAAAACAAATAAATTCACTAAGTTTTAATACATAAAATAGTAATAATTAAAACTACTGCACATCTTGATCTCACTATTAAAATTACTCTTTCATAAGTGTAACAACCGCCATGCCATGAGAAAAAGTAATCACTGATAAGTAGGATGTATGAGGGGGTGGGGGTTGTAATTTGGCAACACATCTAAAAGGAAATTAAAATAGAGAGTCTTATGGATAATGTCAAATTATAGTTAAAACTAGATCGATGTGGGCTGAAAATATAAGCTATCAAAAAGTCAAATATTATATTATGATATTAAATGTATATGACCAAATAATGCACTGAGAAAATAGTTTAAGTAAACAGTAAAAAGCTATTGAGCTAAATAGCTTGGTGAATGACAAGATTTCTGGTAATTATTTTTCTCAAAATTTCAGAATTCCATAACATTCTGAAAATTTAGGAGGCTGTGGACATAATGTGTTTACCTTGTTGTCAGTGGGTATATGTTTGAAGACATCGCTTGTGAATTTTGGGCTCATCAGGCTCTTTGGATGAATCCAGACTTTGAGATTGTCATCCACTGAACTTGTTACTTTGGCAGGAACCTTGCTGGTGTTTATCTCACCAAAAACTTAAAATCAAATAATGAAAAACTGATCAGGTTTCATTCAGACTCAAGATCAGATTTTGTCAATAGTAGTTTTAAAACTATAATGAAACCAAGGGACATAACCAATGATAAAATAAGATTACACTTCAACCAAACTCATTGTTAAAATACTGTTATTCTATCTTAACTGTTTCTTTTTAAAACTTTAATGTGAGGAAGGGCTGAACCTCGTTACCTTTTTGATTGCAAGAGTTGTCTATGATCTCAAAATCATGCTCCTCCTCTAAGTCTGTGTGTTGCTTGATGCTACTCAGCCAGTTGTTGAGGCTGCAGGAGCTACCAGGAGTTGAGTGGCAGGACAGGCCTACAGTAGGGGCATCTCCAGCTTTGTTGAGAGTGCTGGGCCTTGTGGCAGGCAAGGACTTCATGTTGCTCTCTGGTTCAGCTTTGGGCAGCTTCTTCTGAAGCCAATCCTCAACACGAGTTGACAGCTTGGGTATATTTACATTAATCTGCTGCATGTGAAGAAATTCATACTATTTTTAATTTACTATTACTTTTTGTACGAAAATACAACTACGCAAAATAGATAAAACTGGACATACGCCGTTTTATTAAATAGATAATATATGCCTTGTAAATAGTTTAATAAATTCTAGTGCTGGAGTGTAAGCATTGTAAAATTTGATTGCATCACAAGGCATTGATGGAAATATAAGGCGAGGTTTAAAATTTCTTCCCTGCAATTATAAATGGAATGAAAAAAAGTTGTGTAACTCACACAAGAGGCTGGTGCACACTGTGACCTTTTGATTTCCTCAACAGTTTTGTAAAAGACATGATGGTCTACATCTTCATACTCCTCTACATGACGGGGCAAACTTGCTGAAGGGTTTCCTGGGTCATCAAATGCTGTAATTAATGGCAGGCCATTGGCATCAACTCTACCATAGTTCATAATAGAATCTCTCAGCTCAACATGATCTGCTCTAAAGGAAATGTAGGGGGTTTCCTCTGGTGAAAGTTCCACTCTGTTTAATCTATAACAAAATAAAAAAATATAACAATTCACTGTATTATTTTAAATGACTTGTGAGTGAGTATGGGGAAAATAATGTTTGTAATTTATATATTTGTAGTTAATCATAATATAACAAAGTCTGTTAGTGTATTTTACAAAGTATTACTTTTGCGTTAATTAAAGAGAAAACAGCTGTTTTTTTTTAAAAAACTTATTTGAAAAGATGGTTACCCTGTTCACAGTTTCAGATATTGTTATCAACTGTTGGGGGTGATGGCAGTTATCATTAAATTAAAAGTAGAGTACAAAAAATAGGATCATTAAATAATTACTACTTTGCGAAATATCACTTACAACCCAACACTGTTGCTTCTTCATTCTAGTGTTGAAAGGGAACGGATTCCCTCCAACACAATTTACTATAATGCGTCAAATAGGCCTTAGACACAGATTTCAGTCTGCTTTTCTTTTTAGATTTGCTTCCATAGTCTTTGTCCAACCAAGAACAAGCTACAGCAGCTGCTTTCCCCAGCTATCAAGCCTAATCTGCCAAGGAAAAGTGTTGCAAAATCTTACTTTTTCAATGTATCTGCCAACTGTCTTTCTGATGCTGTATCTTCTTGTACCATTGACAGCCCAGTCTTCAGCACACCTAGGGCTTGATTCAGTCTTGCCTGTTGCTGCTGTAGGGTCTCCTCTTTGACACTCAGTACATTATCAACCTGACTCAGTAAACTCACTTCTCGAACACGCAGACATTCTAAATTTCTACTCACACTTGCATGAATTTTGGCTTTGATCTATAATAAAAACAAACAAGAAGCTCATAGATGATTCTGAGTATTTTCTAATATCAATGTATCATTATATATTATTAATTATTCTGACATGCAAAGATATTAAAGAATATAAGGTTTATTAAGACAGTAAATTAATTAATAAAGTTAATTCTTTAAATTAATAAAACATCTACAGTAAATATGTTTGAGCTAGCTACAAAATTTCAACAAAAGAAGAAAAAATCCAACCACTTACATCTGAGGCATTTCTGTTGAGATGTTTTTTAACAGAGTCCAGTCTTTTAATAGCACTCTCCAGCTGCAGAACCCTGTCTTTTGCCTCATTCATTGCCATAGTAACGCAAGTATTACAAGACTTGTTAGACACCAACAAGGACTTGCAGTTACTAGAAACAAGATCTAGTGAGACCTAACAATGAACAGAAAAAAAATTAGGCTTTCAAGGAAACAAAATTAAATTATTGTGTGTTCAGCACTATCAAAAGTATTAAAAATAACAAATGAGCCAAATTTAATATTTGATATATTTAATTTAATATATGATCAAGTTTTTTATAATCATACAGAATTATAGATCTAATAGAGTTAGAGATATATTTTAATATCACTGCACATTATTTTGAAACATGCAATGAATGGGTCTTTCAAGAGTCCAACCAATATTTTAATAACCACCTACTAAATTAAAATTCTAAATTATTAGGCCTACTACTAGATCTAGATCTAACTAAGTCAGTGGGAAGAAATAAATAAAATATTATAATTATTAGTAATATTATTAGGCCTATAGATAGACTATGTCACTTATATAGTAATATATAGGTCTAGCTAGAGTCTAGGCCTACTGACTACTGCCTATAGTCTATAGTCTATACGGTAATCTATCGTTTTGGGTACGTAAAATCGCCCGCGGCTATTAATGTACGAAAAAGTTACCTCATTGTCAAGGCTTTAGTAGAAGTATATTGTGATATATTTGTGTCAAATATTATAGATAAATGAATAATAAACCTAAATCAATGGCTAAATATATCAATATATGCCAGAAATTAACTTTAAACAGCAGTGTTTGCGAGCAAGATTTGCTATATAAACAGCAGCCATTTGTAAAATAGAGTGACTTCCGCCTGTCTCGCGCTATATCCGCTATAAAAAAAAACTTAAACAAGATGGCTGCTATAGTAAATGAGCATGGTTGCATCTGTTGGAAACATCGCTAGTCTTCATTTATTACTGAAAAGTTTTAATTCAATTGTTTAAAAACAGGTACATAAATGAAAGAAGGAAACATTTTTGTATTTTTCAAAACATAAATCCTCCTCAAAATGTGAAATAATTATTAAAATTTAAGGAGTCACCTGTTTTTCACATTACTAGTCGCGGGCGATTTTACGTACCCAAAACGATAGATTACCGTCTATACTTAACTAATACTCTATACTATTAATTAGTTATTTAGTATTATAATATTATAGGCCTATATTGTATTAAATAGTATTAAGTATTAACTAAGAAGCAAAAGTGTTTAGGGAGAAAAGACTGAAATTTATTCTATTCTGATGAGTGATGAGTTAAGAATTCTAAATTTCTAGAAAATCTAGAAGAATAGACTTGACTACTTGACTAAGTTGACTTGACTACTCTCTACTGACTACTGACTAGCCCTAGACTCTAGACATAAGAAAAACTTAAAAACCTATTCTTCTAATGATGAATTATTCGTATGGTGACTTACTTTAAAATAAACTGGCTTATATTTAGAGATGTATCTAGATCTAGATAATAAAATAGATATAAACTCTCAAGCTCTAAGGAAATGTGTGTACTTTTAATCCATCAGTCAGGAGAAGACTTCAGATCTCAATAAAGACTAAAGACCTTCAGAAAGGAAGTGACATACTCACGACCTATTTCTATGCGAACGATGACCCAGCCCTAGTTTTTCAAGGTCGCTCGGCTTTGTCACGTCACTACAACATGCACCTCACTGTGTGGATCTCTCACATGTATCCAATGTAGTGAATCTAGACCTAGATTCTCGATATTACTTAAAACAATGGTTAACGAGTTAATTTATTATAAACAAGATACATTAAGTTATTAAGTAATAAAAATAGTTGAAACTAGATCTAGATCTAGTTCAAATGATGATATCGAAAAAATTATAAAGTGGCCCTACTAAACTAACTGATCTAGATCTAGGATCTATGAACTTTGCTGTGTGAAAATGTGAGGGCTGTGGCTATTCCAGGTCTTAAAAATAAAAACCTATAAATTTATAAAAGGAAGAAAAACAAAACCGGAGAGAGACCGAATTAAGCAGTTTTGACGTTAGGCCTAATGCCGAGCTTATAAGCCCCCCCCTACCCCGCCTCCCTGAAGCACGCCCATCGCTCGCCCTACACATCCCCGAACCAAAATATAAAAGAAATATATATTCTTTGAAAAGAAAACATAGAGGCCTACTCTAAATTTCAAGTGAACGCCCCAGAGAAAAAAAAATTAAAAATGTCTGAAAGAAAAACTGCACATATGGAAAGAACAAATTTCGATAAAAAATCTTTTAGAAAAAAAGTTTAGTTAAAGGAACAAAATGGCGTCGATGTAGACGGTTGCTAGGTAAGCGAGACTTACAACCTCTGATTTACATTAATAATACAAAAGTCTTCTTAAGTCTTAAGTTAAATAAATAGGCCTAATAGTCGAAAATAATTTAATAGCACTATATTCTAAATAATATTTTATTTTCAGTAGGCCTAGATCTAGATGGTAACTAAACAAAATTTAAAGTAGAAAAACTTTTTCAAAAATTGAAAAATCATAGGCCTATGGGCACTATATGGCCTATTGTTTTGCCTATTCATAATTAATAATTATTATAATTAATAATGGACACAAGCGAGAAAAGTCTCAAAGGTATTTGAGAGGTGCATAAATTAATTTAAAATTCTTGCACGGCGTAGTTACAATTAATATGGTTATAAAATCCTGTCTGTCTGGTTTTTTTCGGACTTTACTAAAGATTGGACGTATTTGATGTTTTTAATATTTTCGGTAACTAAATAAAAATTTAAAAAAAAGCAAAAACAATTTGGTTTTCACGTGTAATGGCGACATAAACAATGGCATCCCGCTATTGGATAGGCCGACAAAAATTTTATTGTACACATTGTAAGCTAAAAATAGAAAACTAGGTCATGGGGTTTTTAATTTGCATTGTTATTTAAAAACTTGATCTGCAAAGTTTTGTAAACAAATAGTTATCGATCACTAAGTTACTGTACAGCCAATCAATATTTGTCTTACGAAAGTGAAACATCCGGTTATAACTTAGGCTTGATGAAAATAAATAGAAATGTAGCCTTAAACTCAACAAATTATTTTCTAGTTCTCTGGATTTGCAACTTTTATAGCATTTATTCTAAAAATATAAAATTTCTAAATTAATTTTAGGCTTAAGTTTTTTTTTTTAAATTTTTTTTTTACGGTCTAAATCTAAAAAGCACGTTTTTATTCCATGACAACAACACTATGGAAGGAATCTCGTCAACTCGCTTGTCTCCATTAATTCATGAGCAAAAATCAAAATAAATAAAATAATTTAGATCTAGATCTAGTTTCTTTTCTTTTGTTTAGGCTACAGATCATTTATCCTATAAATTGAAAACAAAAATGGATAAACATAGGCCCTCTAAGTATGAACTCTAAACTGGGTTTAGAAAAAGTTAAAGTTTTAAACAAAGTTTCACTTTTAAAAGACAAACAGTGATCGGCTCTGCACTTACTCTACAGTGACTATATACTACACTACTACAGTGACAATATTCTGAAAACCCTACTTCATAACAATATTAAAAAGTTATAGTAATTGTACTAATAATAATACTAATAATAGATCTACTAGTTTTGACTCAAAACTTTGCGGTTATGATTTTTAAATAAAATTCTTTTTTTTTTATAACCACTTGACCTAGTTCAGCAGTGTTTGTTGTCATTTTCAGTGATAAAATGAACATAAACAAATTGTTTTTGGCCTTTTTAAAATTTTTGTTTGGTTACCTAAAATATTAAAAACATCAATCCAATCTTTAGTGAAGTCCAACAAAAATCAAACAGATTTTTATAACCTTATTTATTTTAGTAACATCATACATGATTTAAAAATAATTAATGGGCCTTTCGAATAATTTTGAGGCTATTCTTGGTTGGGTCTATTGATTCAATTTTATTAGTGACACCTTCACCTTCAGGTTCTTCTCCCCCTTATTTAGAACAGTGCCTTTCATTATTGTTTTAAATAGGCCATCTCAGCTTTCAAGGCCTTGTGAACTTATTTCATTTTTAAACACAAGTAAACTTATGGAACTTATGACTATTTTACTGAAAAAATATTTTGTTGAACATGCCATGTATTGAAGCAGATTATGTTTGTTATCTTTAGCATCAGTGTGATTGCCATGGTTAACATAAGCCCTACTAGTAGTGTATTTGTTGTAAATTCATTTTTGTTTTAAAAACATTTAAATAAATAATTAATTTTTTTGTAGATTGACTTCAAGACAACTGTATTAACCATGGGTGTATACAGTAGTAGTTTTGTAATTGAACCAAGTTCTGAGCTTGCTGTTTGTGGCTTCTCTCATCCCAGTAAAGCCAATTGGGTTACAGCACATGCTATAGCCACAGAATGTAAGTTAAAAAGTTATACAGAAATTCATTCAAGAAATTAACAAAATTATTTTTGTTTAAAAAATATTTGAGATTATTGTAGAACAAATGTAAGACTTTTTTATGGTAATTTCTTTTTTTTTTTACCGACAGTAAGTATTGCAGAAGTTGAAAGGCTATGGCTGAGATTCCAGCAAATGGGTGCAAATAAAGATGGTTTCTTAACACAAGAAACTCTTGCCTCTTCCAAACTTAATTCAGATGTTTTTATAAAAAATGTAAGTTTAATTCAAATGACTGACAAAAATAAAATTAAAACTTTCAAATAGCTGAGAAGCTATTATGATAGGCTTACTTTTGGTCAACTAAGTAGCCTTAGAATTATTGATTCATACCTTAATAATACATACAGTATTTTAATAGAAGCTTAGTTAGCTACCTCTAAGGGAAGGCATGGTCGGGCAGGAGAGCATGTGATTGTTTACTCCAAAAGTCCCAAGTTTGAACACCGAGATAGTGTAGAGAATTCCAAAATCAAACAACTGCTGCCTTGTATTTTGTTCTTGGATGGGAAGAAAATGCTGAAAAAAAAAACAGGCTGAAAACAGAGTCAACTGGCCGTATGGTCATTCCATTTTGACACGTAAACACTTCATTGTGTTGGAGGAAATTCCGTCCAACATAAACATAAAGAATGGAGAAGAAGAAAATGCCTTGAACTTTATAACCTGTCAGTAATATAATCAGATATCTAATTATTTAAAAAAAAAACAGTTTTGTTGCAAAAATAAGACTTTAAAATAAAAATGTAAGTTTTGTTTTAGTTAAAGTTCTTTTAAAAAGCATAAAGCTATTAACATGTGACATTCCTAATACTATCTGTTAGTTATAGTAATTGTTTTAAAATACTACATCAGGAATTTTCATTGATGCTCAAAGTTAAAGCTATTGAGCACAAATTTACTTTTAGTAGCTTAATAAAGCCCAAACAACAATGTCAGTAACTTGCCTTGTTACAGCAAAACATTTTTTTTGATAGATTTTAAAATACTTCAAAAGCTCAGATGGAAAAATTTCCTTTGAATCCTTCCTGAGAGCACTAAAATGGTCTGAGAGCCAGGAACTTGAAGTTAAAGCCAAAGGTAAATCAATATATTGTAACAAAGCTATGTCAAGACTCAATCAAGCTGGTATTTAAATTATTACCAGTATTTTTAAAAATGAAAATATTAATTCTAGGAAAATTTAATCATCAGTCGTTTATGTTAAGTGATTAGACAATGACAGTAATTTATTATTAAAGTATGTTATAATGTATTACAGCATTTTAGATTTTAAACATAGAAATTTTTTTAAGGTAGGCTTACATAAAAATATTTGCAATAGTTAAATCAGACCCCAAGAAACTTCAGATGCGTTTTTCTCAAAACTACATTTTGAGAGATAGAACAAGATAATACTGGGGGGACGATATATGTATACAGTTTTGTTAGATATATATCTGTTTACATTTTTTTTCCAGCAATTTTTCAGATGTTGAACAGTGGCAATCCTATTCCCAGAGATATCTTCCAGAAAATTCTGAGCAAGGTCTATTCTACAGAAAGTGAAGTGAGATAGCACTCAGACTCTAAGATTGTGAAATAGTGTTATATGAAAACATTCATCTTCTAAGAAATAAAAAAATATATTGATACTTAAGAAAGTTTTTATAAATCAACTTATTTTAATTTTTTTTTAATCTTTAAAATGCAGCTCTATTAGTATATCTTAAAAATATAAAAGGAGAAATATCTTTTTTAATCTTTATATTTTTCAGTATGAAATATACAGAATAACAGATATTTTATATAACTCTTTGGACAGCTCAAAGAAAGGTTTGTAGTTTGCTTTGATTTAATTGAAATGACATATGTGTAAAACTTTCTTGAGATGATGAGGTATATGAAATAACCACCTATATTTTATTTTCAGGTCTCATAGATGAAAAGGACTTTGTGAAGGCTGTATTAGGTCTACCTCGACCAAAGGCGCAAAACATTCTCAGTTTCCATATTTTGTCAGATCATATGAGAGATAATGTGCACAAGAATTTGCCAGAGGTAGATGCAAAAATTAAGCAAACAATTTCTAAAATATTCACTTCTTAATTATGCAATATTTTGTGTATGTTTCATAATAAAATCATCATTTCAATAACTATGTATTTAAGATGAATGTTTAAAAATACAATGAAATCAACCTATTCATTATGTGGTTTGACTATGATGTGTTTAATAATATTGTACCATATTTTTAACAGAAAGAAATGAAGTTTTGTTAGTTAATTATATTTTCTCTGAACTTAAGTTTATCATTAGTTAGACCTAACCACAAGTTTGTACAAAATCTGTTGACTCATTGACAGTTCAGTAGCCAGGCAGCTTTCTACACCCCCAGCCCCCAAGTGTCGCAGATACCATCAGACAACATCCTGAGGGAGGTGGCTGAGAAGATTCACAGGTCAAATTGATTTTTTCATACTTTTAGTTATAAATCAGTGTTTAAACTTTGAGTGGTGTTTTGTAATAACTCTACTACTTATATATTTGAACATTTAAAATTTAAATGCATTCCAAAAAATAAATGCATTTTCTTGAGTAGGCCTACTTACATTTACTTTCAGTTAATGATCTTTTGTTTTTAGAAATCTCATTAGTAGGACAACTTATTAAATATACATTTGGTTGTGAATAGATAAGCCACTTAACAGGAATTGATAGTATTTTAGTAAACATTAACTCATTCACCACAAAATATTTTGCACTCATTTTCTATTATATATGATGAGTTGATAAAATGATATTTACGCCTACATATAATTTATTATTTGAATGTTGTATTTAACAGGAAAGATTGGGAACTTGTAGCCAACAGACTGAGTTTTTTCTCAGAGGACATTGAACACATCAAGATAAATAACCCAAACAGCTCATTTAATCAGGTTGGTTCATATTTTAAAATTCAACACTGCATAATCTTTTAAGTTGTTATTGATTATTTCTAGAACTAGTAAATTACTAGCAACATTGAATAATCCGAGGTTACAGAAATTTGATTGTGTATTATACATGACATTTCTTTTCAGTATTAAATTTTGTATGCTGATAAAGGTTTGTTTAAAGTGTAATCTGTGCTCAACAGAAATGGAACAATTGTTATTGTATTCAATTTTTATATGATGATAGTTATAAAAAAGTCAGGGACCACATAAAAACACATATAACAATTGTTGTTTGGGTTGTACACAATGTCTTTAGGCAGGGGTTTAACTTGTATCTAACATTGTGGGGGGGGGGGGGGGATAAGAGGAGGAGTTGTATGCACTCTATCCTAATGTGGTGTTCACTGTATACAAACAATGGGTGTTCTGTGTATCCTAACATTGGCTTTTTCTTTGAATAAGTATTTCTCTATATAAACCATATCTAACTGGCTAATCTTGACTGTCTCTCTTGTCCCAGGCTTACAGGATGTTGCTAGACTGGAAACACAGGGAAGGTGAGAATGCTAAGGGTAGCGTGTTGGAAAAGATTCTGCGCAATGCTGGAATGATAGAAGCATCTCTCCTGTTAGCACCATGAATTTTTAATGTGATCAATTTGAAATTAGTGTTTGCATTTCTAGCTATGTATATATACTAAATCATTAATATTATATAAAAAATAAAAAATATATTTGTAAGAAAAGTATCTTCATAATCATATCTTGTTTAAATATTATATTGTATTTATATGGCTAAAGTTGCCCTGAGAAACATTGGAAGGCATGCCCAAAGAAGTCAAATCTTTTTTGTTTTTTTTATGTTGGTGCAGGCCCTGTTGATGCTGATCATGCCAATTCTAGAATGGCAATCTCTGCCCAATCACAGATCATTGTGGTTGGTACCATTTGGGCAGGCTTTATTCTTCTTCACATCTCAGAGGCAACCCCCAGCTGTTTTACCTTCAGCCATGAGTGTGTCTGTCTGCTTGGCCTGTGTCCACACTATTCTGTCTTGGGCCAGTTGCTTCCACATGTGTTCAGATATGTCTGTTGACCACAGGACCAGTTTGCAGACACCTCTGTAATTCAGGGGAGGGCGTCCTTTGATAAAATCTCACAGAGAGGATGTCTTTTGGTACTAGGCCGGCAGGCGTGTGGCAGACAAGACCCAGCCAACAGTCTTTGTGTTGGCATTCCCTGCACGCTTATGGATTGGGTTTGTTTAGTACATGTTGGTGTGAGCAGGGCTTGCGCTCAGAGGCGTGGCGAGGGGGGCGGGGGTGCGGACCGCACCGGGTGACACCATATAGGGGGTTGACACCAAGGCAAAAAATAGCAAAATATATAGAGAAAAATGATAATTCCACTTAATTAAGTGATTAATTAGAGTGTTAAATAGTCTTTTAAGAGGTGCAAATCGAAAGTTTGATGAGGAGGGGTGCAAATCGGAAGTTTGAGGGGGAGGGTGCAAATCGAAAATTCAAAGTTTGGCCTCTGGGGGGTGACACCATTAAGTGCCGCACCGGGTGACACCCGACCTTGCTACGCCACTGCTTGCGCTACCTATTAAGTAAACTAGGCGGTCGCCTAGGGCGCATCCCTAGGTTCTTGAAGTGTTAAAATGTCGTATTTTTTATTTGGCTGTTGTCGTGTAGTTGAAGGTCTAGTGGAATCTGATTGGTAGTAGAGAAATGAGAATATAGTAGATGAAGTATTGTTCTGGGGTCCGGAAGTATCGAGCCTTGCAGTATTAAGGTATCGATGTGTGTTAAATGTTAATGTGTAATAATAGGTACAGTGAAATCGTTGTAGATTTGGGGTATCGTTTGTAGAGCTTGGTAAAGTTAAGTTAAGCGAGTTGGTGTCATAGTTCTGGAGCATCGAGTCTAGCTATGTGTTGTGAATGTAGTAGAGTATATCCAGTAGTCGAGTTTATCGTAAGTTAGATGATTTCAATTCAGGATGGAAAACACTACAAAGAAAGCTAGGCGTTCTCTAGCTGAAAAAATCTTTAGTTTTTTAGGAATCTATATTACCACTCTTAACTCATTCTATACCAGGGGGTTTTCCACCTCCTGACCTCATTATTTCGTGACCCATTTTTAAAAAAATACACAGCCCTCACCTGCTTAAACAATTATAGCTCCTATGTTTTTCTAACCAGATTTATGTATTAAACATCAAAATGAACACAAATGAATTTTCTATAGTACTAAATGAAGATAATTGAGGGTTATATTAAAGAAAGTAGGTTTTTTACATGTTAAAATGACTTGTTAGTGTAACAACACATAAAAAATAAAAAATATTTCCAACTTACATAATCACAGGTCACCAACCACTTACCTAAACTTTGTGAAACTTACACATTTTGTTGGTTATCCATATATACACAACATACCCAAATGTCAAAGAAAACACTTGTAAAATAAAAAAGTTATGCACAAAAAACTAATAAAATTAAAAAGCTGAAAACAGGACATTTTCTTTTTACAACTAGCATACTAAGATTTATAGTTACTCTTAGTATGCCAAATTCTAAAACAGGGCTCCTTACAAAAAAAATGGTTGACCAGGACAATCTGCACATACATTTCTGGTTCTTTTGCAAGCACCTGGTTTACTACAGACCTGACAAATACGGTCTTTATTGGCCGACTTAAGAATATGTATTTTAGCGGCTAGCCGAATGATTGGATTACTATTATATAATATAGGCTGGAATTTATAACTGACCGTAAACTTTGTTTTTCAATTTATATTCTTTTTTTAAAATATTTAATCATTAATTATAGCAATATCTTAAAAAGTTATCCGTATTTGATTTTTTTGAAAGGCATCCCTTTATTTAGGGGATCCAAAATATGGGCATAAGTACTAGACCTAGATGTTAGAACCAATATGCTTAGACCAGGGGTCGGCAACCTGCGGCTCGCGAGCCGCATGCGGCTCTTTTGATATCAAGATGCGGCTCTCCAGCTCCTTGAACAAATACTAATAATCTTAATAAAAACATAAAATATTTGAAATAAAAAAAATGTTAGTGGCTCTTTAAAACCAGGGAAATTTTGAAAATTGTAACTTTTGGCTCTTCCGCTTCAAAAGGTTGCCGACCCCTGGCTTAAACCGTTGCAGCAATTAAATGTATGTCATCAAAATTGACTAGTATGTTATAATAAAGCTGTCATGTTTAGGCTTTCAAACAAAATTTAAGAAATCAATGAGTAAAATATATTCTTTTGACACGGTTACATTAGCTAATATAAAAGATTTTTTATAATTATTACCTAATGAAATTTAGAACGTTTTATTGTTTTTCAAGCATGTCTTAGTTACACATGGTTACTTAGCTATTCTTGAGAAAGCTATTTCCCTTGAATGAAATTTTGGTCTCTGTATTTCCAAAATGGGAGATAATTCATTGCTTAACTTTACATTCATTTCAAATTCCTGCACCTTAGGTTGACCGCTTACTTATAAATACACCTTTAAGTTAGTATTTGCTATTGTAAAAATTATATAGAGCAGAAGTTCTAAACAAAATAGTTTGGTAGTTGTTTTTTTAGCATTATCAAGTTGAAAAACAAATACATTAGTAGCTGTTGTAGATTGCAATACCTAATGGCTAATGTAGTAGACATACATTATGAGATAATGCAACAAATGCGTATAAAATCGTCTTAGTCGCAAATTAATCATATAATTAATTAAGTGTCTTTTTCATAGTTTTCACCCTCTCCTAAAGGATTCATATATAACAATTGTAGGCTGAAATCTATAACATTTATAACATTTTATTTTTCAAAAAAAAATTAAAAAAATCGTTACATAATCACACAATATAGACTATAGACATATGACAATTATAACTAAAGACAGTCAAGCTTAAAACAGGTAAGTTCCGTTGTGGAACTCACCTTTGGAGGCCTGCAGAGAGCCAAGCACTACAAGAACTGTGTTTTTTTCCCAAATGTTTTTTTTCCAGATTTTTTTTCTCCGGGGGAGGCAAGTAAAATTTGATTTTGATGTCTACTTATAACGTGTATGCAATTGATAATAAATTAATATGTCACTTTTAATTTATTGTTTTCTTATTCATATGTTTTATACATATGTTTTAGTAATTGATTTGTGTTGAGGACGGTAGACATTCTCGCGTGCCCCACCCCCACCCCCCGAAGAGATGCATGAAAGAAACTCTGAAGGTGTGCCAGAAACAGGTCTTTAGACTTGTTAACAGTTCAACAAAATGTCCTATTGTCCTACACAATGTCATATAATTATTTAATTAAATAATAGGTTCAGAATTGTTAAGGCAAATTATCGTTTTCATTTTGTTTAATTTGGAAAAAAAAGTATAATTGTTTAGATGAAATTAAAACCACCTCGGCATACAAGAAAGAAGAAAGTAATTTGATTGTAGCGGAAACCAAGAACAAACGAGGGGAGTCCATAGAAACGAAAGTGGCCACAAAATCAAGCAAGCCTTACAAGGGAGCTAACTATCACGGACCGAGCCGAAGAAATCAGTTGTCGGCAGTTACGGGGCTTTTTTTCATTTCCTTTCACTTACTCCTCACTGCCTTGTACGGAGCGGTCAACCGTTTCCAATCAAGCGAGGGGAGAAATTCAATTAAGAATTGTTTTTGGCACGAGGCGTAGGCACGAAAGCTTTCTGAGTTTAAGGAGGGTTGGTGGCAGGGGCGGAACTACAGTGCCGCCAGACCCCGCAATGCGGGGGGGGGGGGGGGGGGCCCAGGCCGATTGGGGGCGCAAAAATCCTGGCTAAATTATACTTTTTTTTTAAAAATTTAAATAAAAAAAATTAGGTGGATGTCGAGTTATACACACGCTGTTGTCGGCAAAATTCTTTTGAAAAAACATCAATTGCGCGAGAGACCGCTAGATATTAAGACGGCATTTTGAGACCATCCCAAATTTGGTTACTGATGGATAAAATCACATTGGTGCTTTGTTGTCCCTTTTAAGTTCCTTTCTCAGACCTCCCCTCCCGCTCTTAGCCTTACAAGAAGCGAATAGATAGCGCCTCAACAACTAAGCTGGCTCATATCGGTGGTAGTGTAGACAAACTAGCGCTCCAACAACAACGCTGGCTCGAATCGGTGGTAGTTTTGATAAACTAGCGCTCCAACAACTAATATCCAAGAAATAAAGTGCCTACATTGTTTACGTTTAATAACCACTGTTCTAGAGAACAAGGCAGACGTCTCAAATGAATACACGAATGATAGCGTGTTATATATATATATATATATATATATATATATATATATATATATATATATATATATATATATATATATATATATATATATATATACATATATATATATATACATATATATATATATATATATATATATATATATATATATATATATATATATATATATATATATATATATATAATTAGTTTCGTCACTGGCAACTTGATAGTGGTTTTGTAAGTAACAAACAGAATACAGATCTAATACAGTAGTTATGCTATATAGTAGCTAAGACATGCTGTTGCGTAAAATTTTTTTTAAAAAATGAACACAGCTGTAGTGTGAAAGATAGGCAAACGTTCAAACCACTTGCATAAATTATTTCCCTTTTTCAAATAGTCAAATAGGGGTGCTCAAAAACTCTTTTTAATAATCAAATTAAAAAGCAATTGCTTATCTTAATTAT